CAATGTCACTGGCCAGATTTGACTCAGTCAGAGCTTTAACTTTTCTAACCTGGTCTCTGATCACACAAGCAATTTCCTTGAAATCATCCCAGGTTACCAATCCCTGCTTCCATGCTTTGTGTGCTCCCCTTTTGTATTTGATTTTTGCCAGGAGTTCTTTATTTATCCATATAGGTCTGCTGGTCTTTTTTTGTAACTTCTTCCTTCTAGGGATGCAATGCCTTTGAGCTTGGAGGAGATGATCCTTGAAGGTCAACCAGCTCTCTTGGGCTCCCAGTCCCTCCAGGGCTTTATCCCACGGCACTCTACCAAGGAGGTGGAAGCGGCGAAAGTCAGCTCTTCTGAAATCAAGGGTTTCAAGCTTGCTGAGTTTCCCCCTCCTAGCTTCCCTTAGGATCTCAGACTCCAGCATCTCATGGTCACTGCAGCCAAGGCTACCCACAAGTGTAGCATTTCCCACCAGCCCTTCCCTATTGACGAGAACGAGGTCCAACATGGCACCTCTCCTCGTTGGTTCCTCTATCACTCGGAGAAGGAAGTTGTCATCAACGCATTCCAGGAATGTTACAATGTAAGTTAATGAATGTTGTAGTGGTGTTCACCTAATCTGTTTTGGGGTTGGGTTTAATTTTTTTTTATCAGTAAGCACCTCGATGGTGTTCTAGAAACTGGTCTTAGTCATGGTGTCCGTCTGTGTGTGCACATCAGCTGAAATACTGATACTAAATACAAGATTAAATATGTTTGATTTTGTCCATGTAGCTTGCGTGATGCATGTAGGTTCTATTCTGTAAAAGCAAATTATTTGAAAAGACTTGCAAACAGAAGAATATGGTCTTGGAAGAATTGTATATGTACAGAAATAAATGTATTATGGTCAATGGAATTAAATCCAGTCAGTGGCCAGTCATGAGTGGTGTCCCCCAGGGCTCAGTACTGGGACCACTCCTGTTTAACATCTTCATCTATGATTTGGATGAGAAAGTGGAGTGCACCCTTGGTAAGTCTGCAGATGACACCAAGCTGGGTGGAAATGTCTGCTTGAGGGTAGAGAGGCTCTACAGATGGATCTGGATAGGCTGGATCGCTGGGCCAAGACCAGTTCCATGAGTTTCAGTAAGGCCAAATGCCCAATAAGGCCCCTATATTCAGCTTTGGTGAGGCTGCACCTTGAATACTGTGTCCAGTTTTGGCCCCCTCACTACAAGAGGAACGTTGAGGTGCTGGAGAGGGTACAGAGGTGGGCTACCAAGCTGGTAAAGGATTTGGAACATATGTCCTATGAGGAATAGTTGAGGGATCTGGGGCTGTTTAGCCTAGAGAAGAAGAGATTGAGGGGAGACCTCATCGCTCTCTACCACTACCTGACAGGAGACTGTAGAGAGGCAGGGGTTGGTCTATTCTCCCTAGTCGTGAGTGATAGGACGAGGGGAAATAGCCTGAAGTTGCACCAGGAAAGGTTCAGGTTGGATATTAGGAAGAATTTCTTTACTGAGAGGGTTGTCAGGCATTGGAACAGGCTGCCCAGGGAGGTGGTTGAGTCGCCATCCCTGGAGGTGTTTAAGAGACGGGTGGATGTTGTGCTGAGGGACATGGTTTAGTGGTGTTGATAGGACTGGGACAAAGGTTGGACTCAATGATCTTGAAGGTGTCTGCCAACTGAAACTGTTCTGTGATTCTATATACTTGCCATTTCTTGAAGAATGCCCATTAGGATAAACTCTCTTTAATCATTAGCGTTGCTGCTTAATCTATTTTAATAGTTCTTTTAATTTGATTGACAAGCAGCAAATTAATTGGAAAAAGCCAGTTAATGCTGTACTCTGCGTCAAGAGTGAAAGCTGTTCCTTATTTAATTTTTTTCCTTAATGATGCAAATATATGAAATATTGGGGATTGCACTTGGGCATTTTTTGCAGTTTTTTGTCCTGTTGAAAAATTTCTTGTAATCTGTGCTGGTTCATCTACTATAGATAGTACAGTAACACTGAAAGGAACATTGTAGGTTGAAGCGTCCTATCTGTCGGTGCTACAAACAACTGTGTCATGTAATCCCATCCATAAACTGATTGTACCCTAACAGGACAGCAGTTAGTTTTTATCCTCACCACTCATGTGAAGTCTTGTTCTGCAGCTCTAGGTTAAAGCTGTATCCTGATTTCCAGCCGTAGTGTGCTCATGACCATTTTACAGGCATTTCTAAAAGTACACTTTTCTTTCAGCTGTCACAAGTGAGCTGTACACCAAGGCAGAATTTAAGAAAACCTTGTGAGCTCTGTCTCATTTTTCATCTAAGACAATTAGGCTTTTTTAAGACCCATTCTTCCTTGCAGCTTATCACCAAGTTTCTTGGCATGTTGTGTTCTGCACGTAATAGCTGGTATGCAGCTAGTCTCTCTGGACGTTAGCAGTTTCAGTCGTGCCAAAGCTTCAAACAGCATGAGATTATCTTCCTGAAACTGCTTAGCAGTCTTTTTTAAATTTTTTTTTCTCTCCCCAGATAGGGCAGGGTCTCCTAACAATGTTTAAGTGGTTTGCATGTTCCTTCCTCACAGCTGCTTGTGGGACAGAGTATATGAGGGCACACTGCACCACGCTGATCCTGCTTTGAGGACGTATCTGCTGCGTTATCTATTTCCTCTCGTATTTTTCTGCAACAGATAAAAACAAATCAATCTTGGCAAGTTGCTATGTACATATGCACAAATATGTTAAAGGACTTCTTTGTGAGCAGTGAGTGGCACCCTGTTACTCCTTGTTGATGAAAGTGAGTGCACTGCCAACTCATTGCTTTTTTAACTAGAGGTCAAGAGCTTAAATGAACTTGTAAATGAAGAAGAAATACACTTGTTCATACTGTATGTGATTTATGAATTGGAGGCATGTCAGGTCCTAACCAGAAACAATTTGTTCTAGCTGATCCAAAGCTGTAACTGATTGTTCTGATACAAAGAGAGCCTCGGCTATGAATGCATTGAGTGTCATGGTATTTAGCATTAATTTTTTTTTTTTCTTACAGTAGTTTTTTTTATAGAGCATGCTGAAAATAATGTATGGATTTAATTTGCATGAAACTTCGGGACAATGACTTCTAGATACAGATTTCTGATCACAAAACATTTTTTATCCACAAGAGAAGTGGGAGTTGAGTGCAGCATAAATTTGGACTATATATGACTTTTAAAAATAACAAGTATAAAATCTGTGGTCATAAGTCAGTCATGACATTTAAAGAATTATTTGGCATTTGCAACTTATGTTAGTATTAAATCAGAAATTTTTAAAAGTGAGTCTTTATCTTTCCTGAAATATGTAGTTCAGCTAATTGAAGAGCTACACTACTGTACACTTGCTAACACAGTAATTTTATTTTGATACTTTAAAGGAAATTGAGTATGGCAGAATATCTTTTAAGTAGGGATGTAGTAAAAAGGAATTAATTTACAGCCTATTTTTCAATGGTTACAGTTTAGATTCTTCACTTAGCGTCTCCTAAATAAGTTGATATTTGACTTACTAGTTGTTATCTGTAAACTTAAGTTTATTGTTTGCCATTTTATATTTATTATTTTTTATGTGCAGGATGTGAATGAAGATCCTGGAGAAGATGTTGCACTTCTTTCCGTTAGTTTTGAGGATGCAGAAGCTACTCAGGTTTTTCCTAAGCTGTACCTCTCCCCACGTATTGAACAGTGAGTGAGATGTTATTTTTTTTCTACTTCATCTCTGAAATTTTCAGTATCTTCCTGATATTTGTGAGAAATGTTGACTAGGTGACAACATGCTATTGCTTTAAATTAAAGTCATAGTGTTTACTGGAAGTGTGTGTGGTGGAAAAATTACAGATCTTTTGGCTGATTCTGTATCTATCGCTGGACCACATGGATGAAGAAAAGTCATCACTGGCTACAAGCGGTATTCTAGTAGCATCTTAATCTATTGAAACAACGCTGTGTTTTCCTGTAGCAGTATATTTTCATGAAATATTTAATTATTTTGGGGGGGAAGGTAAGTTCTCTGTATAATACATTTGAATTAACTATTGTAGAAGCTAAAGGCCTTTAGTAGCTATGTTTCAGAAATTTTCTTAGTCGCTTTAGTAAGTTACTTTTTTCAAGAGAATATACAAGTATTTCCTATTAAGATTGTTAAACTTCACTGATCTGTTTACCAGTTGGCAAACAGATTTGCTGAGAAACTAATTTCTACTCCTAAAATGGAAGGGTGAGGAGTAGAAATCAATCTGCTTCCATTAAATTTCTCTTCTTCCATTTCTGGAATTAAGAATGTCTTAATGCTCCTACTTCCCTTCGGTATCTCAATCTTGTAATGTCTGCTTCAAAAAAGTGACTACATTAAACTGTTCGGGTATACAACAGTCAAACTGGTCTAGCATTGTTTCAGTGATGCTTTGTTTTCCTGATTAATACTGCAACACCTTTCCTCTGAACTGGCAATGACAGTTCTGGGTAGAGAAGAAAAGATAAGAAATACTGACTACTAGAGTTTTGTAACAACTCAGTGATAAAGTTTATGTGAGTGAAGGAACCTGGTGTGTTGACATTTTGCTCAACAGTGCATTGGTCTGGATAAATTGTTGGATGCAATTTATGAAACGAAAGATTTGATTTGGATAAAAGCATAAGACTTCCCAGATGTTTTGTGCAAACACATGCACAATATATTTAGCAGCTTTTACATATTCTTTTTTTATTATTATTTTCAATTCATTACTTTTTGTCAACAGTAGTTGAGGGAATAATTATAGTCAAACATGTAATTATCCTTCCATGTTCCAAAGGATTCTTCTGCTCAGCTGTCGTTAGAAGCGAGTGGGCTGTTGTTAGTTTCCATTGTATTTTCGGTTCTGGTCACATGTGAATTCTTAAGCATATTTCAGGCTTCCCATGTATATCTGCCTGAATGACCTGTGTGCTAATGAATACGTTGCTTATTTTCCCACTTCTGATAGTATGTTTAGAAAGACATGAACCTCTTTATACCAAGCGGAGTAGTAATACAAAGGAACACTTTGTCTTCCTAAAAGTGCTGCATTTTCTGTCAGTGCCTTGAAGAATATCAGATTTTAGATGTGTGATGTAGAGCAATGTAGCAGAAAGATATCTGAGTGATGTTAGTATATGTCTGGCACATCTGATGTGTTTATGGCTTTGTCATTCTTAGCAATGTAGTCATGTTAAAATCATACCAGTAAACCGTGGAGATCCATGGCACACCTTGTCACATTGTCTGTGTATCGGAGTTGAGCTGCTTCCCTCATCTAACTTAATCTGTCCCCGTGCATTCGTAAGGTGCTCAGCCCAGTCTCTAGATCCTGGTAACCCATAGTACTAGAGTTGCTTGTGAGCTGTTGCACCTGCCTTTATTCTTCTGGCAACTTTTTATGTGCTGTGAGAAGATGTGTGGGTATGTTTTCAATGTTTGTTCCATTGTACTTTATTAACAAAGATATAGTTGTCTCGTTTCCCAAAACCAATCTCTTCTCTGCTTAGCAGGGGTTGACAGTTCAGATATTTAACTTTTCAGTGTTTGGGAACCGAAGCAACAACGCATGCGTCTTTATACTTTTTGCCAAAAGTACAAAAAGCCTCAAGAAACCCTGAGGATTAGTTTAATGACTTGAGGCCATGGCATGTTACATTTGAATTGTGTTCTGCTTATAAAAGTTCTTTCCTGCTGCGAACAGTAATTGCATTTACAAAAGCCATGTAAGCAAATTACCAGTGATTTTTTGAGATTTTTTTTTTTTGCAGCAAATTTTGAGGTGGAGTAGGTAGTAGTTGACACTTCCCAACATAACATTCCCAAGTACCCAACAAAACAGGAAAAATACCAAATTCCCACAATTATTTTCTTAGTACTAAACTTCATTCACCTTAGGAAGAACAAGCAAACAGGAATAGCTTTTTCCTGACGTATCAAAAAAACATTTTCAGATAAAAATATTTCAGCTGTGTAGAGAAAGGGCCTGTTTGTGTAATGTGGGTTATATCATGCTTTCCCAAGAGGTTTCGATGTTTTTATGCTCTACCATATAAGCATGCATTTCCACACTGCATTTTCTAAAAATGATATGTAACCACAGATCTTTCCAGCGAATTTGAGCCCTAGCAATATGAATATAGTGTTTTTGCTTTGAAGGGTTATTGAAAAGCACATTGACTTTATTTATAGATAGATGGTAAACATAATACTAGTAAGATGTTGACTGCTGTTTGTCAAAGACTGTGGAAGAGAGGAAAATTAGGGAAATGTCCACTTGTTATGGTTTGGGGCTAAGACATTGGTTGTCTTGAAAAACCTAAAATGTTAAAGTGGAGGTAAAAATGTAGTAGAGAAGTATTCAAATCAGTATTTGTGTTCCATTGACTCGTGTGGTGTCTGACTGAAAGGCTGTCCAGTCCAGTTCTTAAAAAGGGTTTTTACTCTTTTTAAGCAACCCCACATTTAGAGTTGGGAAGCATTTGTGCTAGGCTATAAAAATCTCAGCAATAATTATTCATAACTGTACCTGGTTTAGTTCTTTCATTAAAACTTGCTGAGAAACGATTTCTTTAAACAATACTTGTTCAAAATACATTACCAGAAATTTCTAGTTAATGTTTCTTTAATTAGAAGCCAGTCACTTGAAAAAGCTTTTGTTTTATAATTTCAGGAATTATTCTTTGTTGTGCTGCATCAGTAAGCAAGCAGATAGATGCCACTAACAGTTGCTTTTAATGATTTCAAAAATTATGTAGAAATGAAATGAGCTATTTGTGAAACATGTTTTCTTTAAAAACTCCCATCATAACTGTAGTATTGTGAAAACAAGTTTCTACACACTCCTGGAGGAAGCGGTAAGGTGGCAAACCCCTAGATTGACCACCCAACTTGGTGCCTGTCAGCATCCCTCAGTGTGTGTGTCCAGCTTGTCCTGCTGCTCCTCCCACCTCGAGGCCTGGGACTGACCGCAGGATCCTTGTTCTCCCCTGCTGACGGCTGCTCTGCTTTGGAGAGGGTCAGGAAGCTGAGCAGTGTCAGTACCTGAAGCCCTCGCTTGCCTGTCCGATACCCTGACCTCCTCCTGCTGCTTAGGTGGGGACAAACATATTCTGAGGCTGCTTCTGCATGGATAAGGAGCTGCTGAGATGTTTATCCTTACTGTCTCTGTCACATTTCACCACGCGTTATTCATGATGTCTCTAGACCTATCAGCATAAAGCATCTTGCTTGCTCAAAATTCTCTTTCTAGTGAAAGTGTACTATATAGACATGTGGAAAGGAAATTTATAATAAAAATATCCATCATATCTTTGATTTCTGTTTATTTAATGTCTCGAGACTCCAAATCCAAGAAGTCGGTGCAAGACTGAACAACTAATTTCTATATTAATGCTTAAAATGTGTGTCAGCATACTACACATGAATGTGGATCAGAAATGTTTGGTTGTTGTTTTTTATTTTGTGGAGTTTTTTTGTTTTTAAAAAATGAAACAAAATATATGTTGTTTGGTTGTTTTTTTTTCTTCTTGAGTTGTCCATGCTAAAGAAAATAAAAATCACATTTTAAGAGAAAAAGATATAAGCATAGAAACAGTGTTGCTCAGTGAATGCTATGTTCCCTGGATTCACAGAAATAATCCTGCAATAAACACTGTGGTCCTGGAGGGCTTTTCTCTGATAAATACGCGGATGTGAATATGCTAAGAAAACCAGCTGTCAGTAGAACTTGTTATGCTTAAATGGATCAGACCCCATGCTTTGGGGACTCAAATGGTCGTTTTTTACTGTCTGGGAGCTGTGCCAGAGGGCTCTTCGTGACTGAGGATGGTATGCACAGTTCTGTGACTGCATTTAACCTCGTACAGGCAGGGGAGAATAACAAGAACCTGGTCTGAACTCTTAGACTTTGAATGTCTCTGTGTTTTTAACTGATGAAAAAAAAAAATAGACGAGAAAATTAAAGGCAGTTATTTACTTTGTTTCTTTCATTTCACCTGTCCTTTCTGCTGGGATTCTGAAGAGGAAAACCATAGGTGGTTATCTGTTTATGGCCAGGTACTGCCTTTCACTACGCTTGAGATTCAGGGGTGCAGTGAAGGGCTTCACCTTTAAAGTGGACGTGCCGTACTGCGGAGTGCACGTCACCGGATGGAGCCTGCTGTTTCCGAATGATCTTGAGCACGCAGCCTCTAAATGAGTCGTCACGTTTAGGCGTTTTTCTATGTCTGTCTTTCTAGAAGATAGAAGTAAGAAGGTCTTCTGTTTGGCATATTAAAATGTGCTTATTCATCTGAGCTGATGATTTCAGTGGAACTGTTAGTAAACAGCCAAGACAGTCCATGAATTCTTCAAATCCCTGAGCATGGTTTTTTTTGGAATGACTGTTGTTTTGCAGGTCTTTTTCTTCCATTAAACCTAGTTTGGTTCTGCCTCTACTCAGTGCCTGGCCAGCAAGTCCGTGATACCTCCTCCTTGCTGTATGTGTCATGTCCCCGTCATCCAGGTCTTCTGAAACTGCAGAAACCCAACACTGTAACCTGACTTCCAGTCTAGCTCCGCTCTGCAGCCCTTCCTCTGTCCTAAAAATCATCTGTTTTGCTGCAGCCACATTTTGATGGCCTGTTGACAGCTTCAGAGGAGATCATGGTAGACTGGGATTGATAGTCAAAACAGTTCGAGTTGTATT